AAATATAATGAAATACAGGACACGGACACAGACACGGACAAACACACACACACATATATAAAAGAGTAGGTTAAAAAAAGCAAGAGTAAGAGTAGCTGCCTAGAGTCGCTTGACAATGAGGAGGCCAGGATATAAATTTAGTAAACTGAATAAATAAATAATATTAAAAGTATATGTGTGTATACATTCATGTATAACACACACAGTTGCATAATGTTTGCATTATATATACTATAATAAATTAACATATTTAATATAGAATTGTAATTCTTCACCATTTACTTTAATGACATATTATACTTTATATTTTGTGTTTTTTTCTGTTGTACTTTTGATTTATTTTTTGTAAGCACTTGTTACGTATTTTTATTATATATGCGTTTTTGGTATTTCTTGTTTGGTATTTCTTTTTTTCAGGTACTTTTTTTTTTCCTGGTACTATTTTAAAAACAATATTTTTTTAAGTAGGGTTTATCTATGTACTCAACCCAATTACAACCTATATGATCTACACCAAATTTACTAGTCACATATGACTACAGAAACAACACAGATTTGCATGAACACCATTTAATACCACCTTATGATACAATTTTTTTTTAAAGTTATTGTAGAAGAAAGAAAAAAATGTTAAAATGCAATAAATCATAGTATATCCTAAAAAGGAGAGAAAACATGCCTGAGGTTCACAGAGGTGCCTTTTGCAAACCTATGGTAAAAGGAAACTAGTATAGACGCCTCCCAAGTATCAGGAGGAAAGTATTCCAGAGCAGTGGTGAAATCCAAATTTTTTTACTACCGGTTCTGTGGGCGTGGCTTGGTGGATGTGGTATAGCTTTGTGGGTGTGGCAGAGGAAGGGTACTGCAAAATCTCCATTCCCACCCCACTCCAGGGGAAGGATACTGCAAAATCCCTATTCCCTCCCCACTCCTGGGGGAAGGACATTGCAAAATCTCCATTCCTACCTCACTCTGGGGCCAGCCACAGATGGTATTTGCCAGCTCTCCGAACTACTCAAAATTTCCGCTACCAGTTCTCCAGAACCTGTCAGAACCTGCTGGGTTTCACCCCTGTTCCAAAAGGTAGGCTGTGTGTGCATAGAGAAGGCCTAGTTTTCAGTACACTAACCATAACATAGCAGTCTCTGAATCACAGCACAAGCCCTTCCAGAAGTTTTCCAGTGTTAGTGATCAAGCAAGTCTGCAATGAGAAAAATGATCTGTATCTTGGTCTCTCGTTTTTTAGGGGCTTATATGCTAAACAGAAATTAATGACATGGATGGCTAATAATTAGTAATTATCAATTGCTTTAATACTGGTGTACTCAATATGTTGTCAAGTACTTCCCTCAGCAAGCTGCCCACTACATTATGTAGTAAAATATATGGTTACATGACCCATCTCTTTTGCAAGTTTAAAATCACTTCCTAAAGTTAGCAAAATCAGCAAATAGACTGAATGACCTTCTTGTGACTTGTTAATTCAGGAACTTCTTCTGCAATGATAACTACCAAACTTCAAAAGATGTGCATCATGATTTATTTTAGAAAGCTTTTCATAAGCCAGAAATGCCCTGTACTAAGGACATTAAAAGCAAAAATATAGTTCAGAGGTGGGGGGGAGGAGAGAGAGAGATTCTATAGCTTTTACTTTATCTCTTGATCCTTTGACTTCCTTCCCAATGACAAATTGGAGAGGAGGAAAACATATAATACCTTTTGAAAAGCCATTTAACTTTGCAACAATCATATTCAATAGCATTACTATAAATATCGGCAGGAGAGTTAATATTAATTTTTATTAGGTAAAACCTGCAGCTCCACCTTCCATAAATATGGAAGCCACTCAATCTGCATTAAAATTATGAACTCTTTTTAAAAATGAAAAAGCTTTGCATGCCATTTTCTTAAATCACCAATTAAATTGCCACAAATGTTTCAAAAACTTTAATCAGAATAACTACTTTTATTATCCCCAAATCTGGCTTACTGCCTACATTCCAAAATGAATCGGTGGCTTAAAAACGTCTCTTTCAATCCGATTTATTCACCGAACGAAGAGTGTAAACCCTGCCCTTCAGAACCGTGTCCACTTTCCTTTTCTAATCAATCAAACTTTCATGTCAGAAAGTTAAAGGCAGCAAAAAAAAAAAAAAAAAATCACAAGAATAGGCCAGCTATTCCGTGCATACCACAAGGGCGTAAAGTTTCGGGTTGTCCACCTTGGCCAATTCATCCCATGGTGTAAAAACTCACAGGTACGCCCTCAGCAAGACAAGGAAAGGCTTTCCATCCGAGAGGATTAACGACCGGCACTCCCTCAAGAACTACATCAAACACCGGATCTCCAAAACCCGCAACAATCATAACTCCACGTGTATTTACCGTCGCATACCACCAACTCGCGAACGCCATCGCAGGGACCGACCGCTCCCAGCTCTCCTTCCAAGTTCGGTTTCAGCTTCCCCAAGAGAGAGCGCACGAAACTCCCAGCTCTGCGCGGCTGGCTGAGACTATCCGACCCGAGGGCTTGGGAATATGTGCGGGCAAAGAGAGGCGTGGAGAAGCTGCTGCGTCCTTCAGTCGGTCCGCCCCCAAACAGACAGCAGAGTAGGAAATTTTGGAGAGGACGATCCGTGTCTATGTGGGTGTCCGCTCGCTGGAGCCCCGTTTTTCCCGCTTTGAAGTTAATGCAACAGGGGGCTTTGCCTAGAAGGAACCGTCTTTTTGGACAAATTACGCGCGAATCCAATCACTGAAAACGGTCCCACCCCTCCTCTCCGGGATAGACGGAGGTAAGGAGGAGAATGATGTCTCGATCCAGTTGCCCTTGGTGCCAGCTGCACCGCCCAAAACCACTCAAGTATGATTTCATTGTTCTGACCCAGTTCCTGGAAGAAGGGAAGGCGTGTCTGCACTCATTGTCTTTCTTTCTAAACTCCTACCATTTCCTGGATAAAATTCCTCCTCCTCTGTCAGAATATCTTTTTTTTAAAAAAAAGGCTGCCCAAGAAGTCATATTTTACCCCCGGGCCTGCATTCATAGATAAAAGAAATGCACTTTGCTCCAGACAAAAATGAAGTGCCCATAAACTCTCTTATGTTCCCACAGGTGCTAACCTGGAGCCAGCTGAATTATGACTTACTAATTACCAGGACAATGGACCATAAACTAACCACACTAGTTTGGTTTTCACAAGATACCCGAAACACTTGGTTGCCAATGGCTTGAAAGCCCAAAAGAATATTCAAAGTCATCTACTATAAATTCTGAGAAGGATATTTCAAATACTCCTTATTCTTCTTGGGGTACCTTATAGGGTACCAAGGAACACAGAGAAGTTTTATCTTCAGTGCAAGGCCTTTTCCCAGTATCTTAACTCCCAGTTTGCAAACAGCACTGAAAAAGGAGCAGCACTGGAGGAAAGGTGTGACTATGAATAATTTGCTCCACGATTTTGTGACCGTGTTGCAAGAAATTTCCACCTGCTATTCATCCTGCTATCCCACAAACAGGACGGCCACTCTACAACCTATTTTTCCAAGCACTATGAAGTAACTTAAGGGTAGAAGTCAAACTGTGAAATTCCACTGTAGTATCTATCATTTCATAGCAGGAATATCTGCAAGATAAATACCAATGTGTACTAGAAATAAGATAGAGGTCTTTATAAATGACATCATACCCACCTTTCATCTCTTCTCTAGAGCAAGAAGCCTAAATTGTAAGAACCTTTCTCCATTAAAGAGGAGGGACCATGCCCAAAATCCTGAAGGTAATCTGTTAACTGAATATCCTGATTTCTATTGGATACCAACTAGATTTCATTTAAACCAGAGAATGACATGAAACCTAATGATGATGGTGTAGATCAGTGTTTCTCAACCTTGGAAGCTTGAAGATGGGTGGACTTCAACTCCCAGAATCCCCCAGCCAGCAGCTGGGAGTTGAAGTCCACCCATCTTCAAGCTACCAAGGTTGAGGAACACTGGTGTAGATGATGAATGCCATTGAACATTGGGTCAGAGGCACAGTACACTGAGTTGTAAACAAGCCATAACGAATGTGTTTAGAAAGCTCATTGTGGATTACATGATAGTTAATCCACATTTCCGAGTTCACACAGCTACGCCGTTTTATAACCAAAAGCTCTGTTTTCAAAGCACGTTAAATGTGCTTGCTAGTTTGTTACTCGGTAAATCGTCAGGCGTGACTTGGTGTTGCGCTTTATAAATCACGGTTTTAAAACTTGCCGCCTTGCGCAAACATAATGACGTTGGCAAAGCCAAAGATAGCTATGAAACCTCACCCTTTAGAAACCGCCCCGAGACAAAGTTCCGGACGCGCAGAGTCAACCCCCCCCCCCAAGCTTTTAAGGATCCCAGCTCCGGGTTTAAAGTAGCCCAAATATTGCCTGCAGTGCATATTTGGCAATCATAATAGTCACCGTTTTTCACACGGCCGCAGGGAGGGGCTCAGGGTCTTTGAAGTGCCCTCGCCAGCCTTCCTCCAGCGGGCGCCCTGGAAATGACAGCCTAAGGCGCTTATCGCCTATCAGCTGACAGGGGAAATTGCAGGGCAGCGAGCCGGGCACATCTGGGAGAAGAGAGCGAGAGGCTTTAAAAAAAAAAAAAAAAAAAAGGCGGCGTCACGACGGGAGGCGGCCTTGCGCATAAGCAAACGAGGGCGCGCGCGCACACACACCCCAAAATTCCCTCGTTCGCCCCACCCAATGGCTCCCCCCCCCCACCCACCGCTCGCGGCTCTGCTCCTCGCCTCTCCCGCGCGCCGCCGTTCTTGGCTCCTCGCCGCTGTGGGCGCTGGCGAATTTCTGCTGCGCTTTCTCCACAGAAGCCTCGCCCCGACCGCACGCAAACGTTTCTCTCGCCCCTCTTATTCGAAAGGGGGGGGGAATAAGAACGAGCCGTTTTAAGGGGCAACTGTTTAGCTTTTTAGCTTAGTTTCCTCCCACCCGCCCGCCTGCCTGCCTTCGACTTGCCTCTTTGGAGCCCGCGGCGGGTTGTTTCTTGCCTTTCGTTGGCTGCGACATGACGGCTGAGGAGGCGCTTTGACTCCTCGCAGGCCGTTTTGCCCTTGCGGCGTATTGACGGGACTCTGCAGTAACCCCCAAGAAGGAGGAAAAGAGGCGAGCAGCGGAGGAGGATCCTGCGGGGAGCTACGAAACTTTTTCCGACGGACCCCGTGCCAAAAATCAGGCGGCTGTGGCGCCTCCTCTTCCTGCGACCGCCGCTTCAGGCTCGGAGAATTTCTCCGGGAGGAGGTTCACTGCGAAAGGGCTGGGTGGCACATTGTTGTGTTTCCCCGAACCGGCTGTGCCTTGCAGATTTATAGGCTGCTAAGCCTCTGAGCGCCGTTTCATTCTAGCTTGTTTCAAAGGAGCCTCCTTTTTTTTCTTTTTTTTTTTAAATTTGATTTATATGCCGCCTTTCTCTGGAGACTCAGGGCGGCTTACAATGCGCTAAGCAATAGCCTTCATTCTTTTGTATATTTATACAAAGTCATCTTATTGCCCCCACAACTGGGTCCTCAATTTACCTACCTTAGAAAGGATGGAAGGCTGAGTCAACCCTGAGCCTGGCGAGATTCGAACCTGCAGTAATTGCAGGCAGCTGTTCTTAATAACGGTGCTTTAGACCACTGTACTATCAAGGCTCTTTTAAAATATTGCAGGGGTTACAACGCACTCAGGAACACACACAGGCACACACACCATCTATTGATCCAGTTTCTTACTGGTTTGACCGGTGTGTGAGAGGCCTCTCCTTCATTTCTAAAAAATTAAGCATCTTAGTAGGTAATCTGCATAGGACAATATTACTTTCCTCTCCTCTTAAATACCAGATGTGAAGCCACGAGGTCCAGGTTTGACTCTGGTTAGTGTTTGGATGAGATAAACAATTATTTGACAATTCCAGATAAGCCATTAGATGAAAGAAAGAAAATCCAGACAGGCCTTTACATAGACATCTGGAAGCCTCTCCCGCTGAACTTGGTGTAATTTATTTGAAAGCTTATATAGACATTCCTGAGTTCAGTTAATGTCAGGAACAACAAAAGCAAAAAAAAAAAAAAAAAGTTGCTTAAAACTTAATTGATCTCACTCAAAAGAAATACCAGGGCAATTACAAACAGGCATGCTATAATTACACTAAATGCAAGTTAAAAAGAACATTCCAAGTGAAAAGAATTCTCTAAAAAAAAGAAGTGGCATAAAAATGAAAAGAATGTTGATGCCAAACAAGTCTCCTTAGGAATTACTGTCTAATCACTATATCTGTGCAAAAAGTAGTCACCTCAATTTTGAAAAGAGTAGCTCATAAAGTAGGGCTTGGAAAAGCAGACAAATTTATTTATTTTTTTATTTTAATTTAATTTGTATACCGCCCTTCTCCCAAAAGGGACTCAGGGCAGTGAACAGCCAAAATTAAAATACATACAATACAAAAGTTAAGATAATTATAAGAGATTAAATCAATCGGCCTCCCAATTTAAAACCCCAAGTCTATAAAATTTTAAAATCCCATTAAAAACCATTTAGGCTAGGCCGGCTTCCTGGAATAAATAAGTCTTCAGGGCCTTACGGAAGGTCCGGAGGTCCGGGATCAGTCGTATTCCAGGGGGTAGCTCTGTGGGGGTGCCCCCACAGAGAAGGCTCTCCCCCTGGGACATTGCTTGACCGACGGCACCCTGAGGAGGCCCTCTCTGTGAGAAGGTATTGGCCAGTGGGAGGTTATCGGTAGCAGCAGGCGGTCTCGTAAGTACCCTGGCCGTAAGCCATGGAGTGCTTTAAAGATGAGAACCAACACCTTAAAGCGCACCCAGAAGACCACCGGGAGCCAGTGCAGCTTGCGCAGAAGAGGTGTTACATGGGAGCGCCACGTCGCTCCCATAATCACCCGCGCGGCCGCATTCTGGACCAGTTGGAGCCTCCGGGTGCTCCTCAAGGGGAGCCCCATGTAGAGAGCGTTGCAGTAGTCCAGGCGCGACGTGACGAGGGCATGGGTGACTGTGTGAATTGTTATGAAAACATATATTTTAATAGACCCTTGAGAATTAGGACTCAGTCCTAGGCACCTACACAGTTTGGCTTTATGGACATTTCTGAAATAAGCTCCCAATATTCTGGCTCACCATTATCTATACTGGTTGCATACAAAACATCTGTGCTTCTCAACTATAAGCAACTTTAAGACATACGGATTTCAACTCCCAGAATTTTCCAGCTAGCATCCCTGGCTGGGAAATTCTGGGAGTTGAAGTTCAACATCTTAAAGATTGAGAAACACTGGTTTACATAGGTTTTGGACCCTCCTGTAAGCTGTTATCTACAATTAAGAGTTTGCCAACTGAGCACAGGCATTGTTTCCATGATCACATTGAAATGACTTGTATGAATGACATCAGCCTTAGTTCACCTTCCTCATTAAGGCAACTTGCAATCCTGTTTTCCTGTTCTGCTATAAAAATGGTGCTTTTAGATTTGTATCGGCACAAGACTGGATGTGTGGTTTCTCTCTTCAATCTAACAATGTCCTCCTATTGCTTGCTGTTAAGAGTTGCCACAACAGAGCAAATTTATTTATTTATTTATTTATTTTATGTATGTATTTCGTCAAGCATGTATTTGATAACAGATACAAGTGTAAACATAATTATGAATACATGAAATGGATATGAATAAGGACAGGGACGGTAGGCATGCTTGTGCGGTTAGTGTTACCCTCTGGTTATTGCTTGTGACCTCTATGGTTATTTTAGACTATCTGTGCTGAAAGATAGGAATGTGTCCACATCAAACCTAGACTTTGTCTCTTGCTTTCCAGTATGGGTGAGAATAGTAAATAAATTAAACTAAAGTGAACATAAAAGCAATTAATTATCTTGAAATAAGTTTCTATCTTCAAAGAGGATTACATTTTTTGGCAGCTTCCTCTCATAGTGAAAAATTACAATATTTCTTCCTTAACCACAGAATTGCTGCATACCACCAGGGATGAAATGCTCCCGGTCCGGACCGGATCACCTGATCCGGTAGCGATGGGAGGCAGGTGGTTCGGAGAACCAGTAGCAAAAATCCCTGCCCCATCCATGCTCAGCTGAACCGTGCGATCGTCAGAGGCTTTTTTTCTTTTAAATGCCTCTGATGATCCAAGCTGAGTTGCCTGATGGTCAGAGGCATTTAAAAGAAAAAAAGCCTCTGCCGATCAGGCAATTCAGCTGGGATCATCAAAGCCTTTTGAAAGCATTTTTTAACAACCTCTTCGCCGAAGAGGTTGTAGAAAAAATGGTTTTAAAAGTAAAAAAAAAAAATTGGCCACACTCACCCAGACACATTACCCACCACCACCAAGCCACGCCCACAGAACTGGTAGTAACAAATTTTAGATTTCACACTGCATACCACACCATCATAATTGATATAAGCTTGTGCCTGAGCTGTGAGGTCTGGACATATTTCCATGATTAATATAAATGAAATATTAAACCCAAATAATTCCTGCTTCACTTTGGTTATGCAATGTTAAGCATTTCATCAAATATGTCACATGCTTATATAAGACTGACACTAATCTCATGTAGTTCCCATATCCATTTGCAGAGTACAAAAATTGGCAGACTGGGGAAAGATAAAGAATAATTCAACATTACTTCGTAACGTACCTCATATTATTGTTGGACTTGTATACCCATTCGTATGAATGAATGTGATTCTTAAAATCTAAGATTTGAGAATGAGATTTTCAGATTTTCCTAGTTCATATTCTTAACTACTAACCGATTATATATTTAGAATACAGAGGAAGCAAGTAAATGAAAGAGGATTGTTCTTGAAACACAAATTAGATTTTTTTTACTTGTGACGTTTAATTTTAAACAATACTTGAACCTCATCACATAACAGGTTTGACAGACTGTGCTGCATTCCTGAGGGTTCATCACACCGAACACTAGTCTCTGCTACGAGGTTGATAAGCAAAACAGAATGGAATCCTGGAAGGATCAAGATATTAGAACATATGCATTTTTTAAATTAGGGGCAAGATACCAACTCTGCCCAAAAATGTATATTCCCACAATTCATCTTCTCATTTGGATACCTTGTAGTGTTCTTGATTTTGAACATTTTGAGGAAGGTGACATGTTAAACTATTGCAGCAGAAGAAAGGGGGGGGAAGCATATTCTAGTACCATATCTAGAGCTTAGATTTAAGCAGTCTTATATCTTTACCGCCTATGTGGTAGAAGGTTGTGTATTGTGCTCGAAGTCATGGTTTACTTACCCATAATAATCCAACTGAGGCTGCAATATGAATCCATTGATCTAATGACAAAAATATGATGTGCAATTTATCTCTGCAATAGAGATCACTATGGCATTAGTCATATTAAACATGCAGATTATTGCTCCATAAAAAAGCAAGAAGACTTCCTGAGAAGATCATAGATGGATAGATGGATGGATGGATAGATAGATAGATAGATAGATAGATAGATAGATAGATAGATAGATAGATGGATAGATATTCCTCTCTCTATATATAGAGAGAGATAGGAAAAGCTGACGAGACGGAAATAGGCTACAACTGTAAACTTGTGTGCTATACAGATATAATCTTTTACAACTTTTCCTGTTGTGGAAGGCCATCCCAGATAGGGGGAAGTAGAGCCTCAGAGCCCATAACTTGGTTCTATATGTGCCTTTATCTAACCATAGGAACACATAATTGACAATATGTATATCATGATACAAGCTGTGACCCTTGGTATTTGCACCATGACATTTTGTGCAAGTTTGTATTGTAAGCAGTGAAAATGCATTGTGTTTTTGCAGTGTATATTTTATTCCTCTTTGTTTACTTCACTAAGGCCTATGCATGGTTCCAGTTTTTGATTCAGGTAAATGTAAAGTACTTAGAAAACATAGCTATCTATCCAAAATTTTTCATGACTAAGGCAAAGATATAGTTTGCATATATAGTTATATAATTGCTACAGATTGTATATTTCTTGTGTGCAGCTTTAAATCAAGAGCCACATTTCATAACATTTAGAAACAGAGGAGCTGAAATTCTGAAAATCTTACTCAGATAGCCATCAACGGAGACCTAATTACAAAGTTAGATGTATCTTCCTATTGTTTTTCCTTTTTAAACTGCCCCTGCCTATTGATTTTTTCTGTTTTATGGACAAAATTAGAATTCATAAATAGTTC